TTGTGGAAGTATCCTTTTTTTTCTAACTATAGACTAGCAAATACGAATACTGTATTTCATTGTGTGCATATGAACTATATCCCTGGAAGTGGGCTGACTTCGTTGTCGCAACTTGGTCTTGTCAGGGAGACATAGTAGAGTGTACCTAGTCTGAAGTCGTCTGCCATAGTAGTTGTCATGATTCCCAGCATCCGATAGTGGACTTGGTACATTCTAAAACGTTTCGTCGGCATCATCAGTGAGTTCTGACGACTATGTTGTTGGCGAAAGGTTTGAGAATGTACCAATTCCACTGTCTGATGCTGGGAATCATGACAATTACTATTGCAGACGACTTCGGACTAGGTGCGCCCTGACAACAAGACCAAGTTGCGACGAGGTCAACCCACATCTATAAATCGAAAGGAGATTGCGACCATACCAGAGGCCACAACATCTTGGTTTTGATATCTTCAATATATTTCTGGAGTTTAATCAAATATATGAAGGCCAAGATGATGTGGCTCTCGGTATGATCAGTCTCCTTTCGATGTATACAAATGGGTTGACCTGCTTTTCGCAACTTGGTATTGTCAGGGTGACTTATTTTAACGCACTTTGTTTCGGCAGTAAGTTTATCAAATAATTGACTTCACTTGTATCTTTGACTAGTTGTAGCTTGGTATTAATATTTGCAATACTCACTGATGATGACGACTACAATGCCGGCGGAACGGCTGATTATGTTCCAAGTTCACTGTCTGACGCCAGAAATTATGATAACTACTGTAACAGAGGACTTTGAACAAATAAGTCAGCGTAACAATAAGGCCAATTTGAGTAAACGAGGTCAACCCATTTCTATATCCCTGTAATTAAGAACCATTTTTTATTGCTTTATTAACATTTTACTTTAATGAGCTAGACTTGTACTTGTATCAGTAGTCAATATCGTAATGCTGCTGAGGGAGCTCTAACTTGTAGACTAAATTGGAGGATAACATTACTATGGTACGAATTTCTATAAATTAACGTCTTATTTGACCTATATATCATTACATCGAATCGTCTCAGCCCGAACTTGTGAATTAAACACATTCTATAGACGCAGGCTTACATATCATCGAAAGGCAGGTCGTCTGTCAGGAGAATTTTCAAAGTTGATATAACGACTAGAAAAACTCAAATCCACATATGCATCAGGCGAATGGACCTACGTGCAGGGACGACCGGGCTTACTCAATCTACTGTGTTTTTATTCAACACCAGCAATGTGATCTGTAGATGGATTTATTCAAGTCAATTTAGTGACTGCGCGTTATGCTTTCTTGGCATCCCATCCTTACCCTCCTCCATGTGACTACACCCACCTATTTTATTGCCAGACGAACTTTTTTATTTAGCCAACATCTTCAACTTCTACCCAATATTAGCATGTCTTATATCTACCTTATTGCTCGCAGAACTGATACCATCTTACTTTAGTTCAGTTACTTGGATTGCTTTAAGTTATCCATAGCATCAAGCTTTATCTTAAATCATAATAATTATATGTAACTGTATTTAAAATACTTTCCCGCTTCAGTTTTATACTCTATTGTCTTTTAATCTGTCACTAGAGTTCATGTGAATGCTTATTTGTGCGCATTTTAATATGAAATATTTTATTCGTTATCATAATATGCGGCTAAAGGCATCACCATAAGCTGAGGAACGGCGTTCTTCTGTTTTCTATTTTTTCGATTGTTGAGATCATGGAACTCCGTCTAATAAGGTGCTTAGTCTTTGTTTTTCATTCTACACGTAATTTTAGGGCATAGGACTATTCGGCAAAACAACATAAGAAAATTTAATGTAGACGACACTGGCTGGTTTTGGGCATCACTATTGATTGTATATCTTTACAAGAGTGGTAGTTATACCAATTATTTGACTAATCCAATAATTATTGAAAGTTTGTTTAGATGCATGTTTCACTCATGCTCATTTAAATACGAATTGAGTTATGGTTGTCTATCATTGAGAGTAAAATTTTTCTCACTGATTATTCTTGTCGAGTGTAAGTGTATTGCAATTTGTTGGCTTCTTTGCTATATGTTAAAGGCTTTTGAGAGCCTTGCGTTGTCAAGACTTCTTATTTAATCGTATGAATTTCATGTCAAGACGATTTATATCAATACCCATTTAATTACATCTTATTTTAGAAGCATCATCGCTATATACTAGGACTGGGATGAATTTAAATTTACTTTGTCAGGAGGAGGAATTGTCTATTTTTTTTAAGATTCCTGTTTGCTTCCAGTTTTGTTTTCTAAATTTATTTTTTAAAATATTAGCTTACTTCTGGCTACCCACCAACTGGTGTTGTGCCCGGAAACCAAGTCTCCGCGGGTAGTGCATTTTCGCACCAAGGCCATCCGCCTCCACATCCAGCTGTCGCCGCCTTCTTGAGCCAAGCTTCTGGACATCACTCGGTCAGTGCAGCAGCAGCAGCTGCAGCTTCTGCTGCTTTCATCTCTGCTCAACAGTCATTGTCTTCTGTTCTCGGTGGGGGTAATGGTGCGAGAAACGAGCATACCTGCTCAGGGCCTAATGCAAGCCTTAACAATAATGGTAACACAGTCGGTGGTGATGGCAATCATGTTATAGGCAGCAACAATGGCCAAGGAGGGTACCCGGCCCATGGCCTTATGAATAATCTTGCTTTGCAGTCTGATGCCTTTCGACTTTCCGGCTCTGGGCTCGGTACTCCTCACCATCCGCATGCACAACATTCTGGACCTGCTCTTGCTGCGCTACTTCAACAGCCTCCACATCTCCAGCCTCGTTTTGGTACCGCCCCTCTTGAGTTCAGTTAGCTTGGAAAACTCCATGCTTCCTTGAAAATCGCCCCTTCTCTTTAACAGGGAATAAGAGAACAGCATTCTTTTTTCTATACTAGGTTCCTCTCTAGTCTCCTCTCTCTTGTCTGCAAATTCTGTGGACTTACTAAATGCTTGAGGTTTATTCAATGGCCTGATCCTGCTTGACCACTCTTACTCATTTGATACAATTGTGATGGTTTCTCCCTAGCTCATTCTCTCCAATACATTTATTACGGCCTTCAGCTCTTTTTTACATCGAATAAACAGCTTTGTTTCGGTTTCTCTTACTCATCAATTCACTGGTTTCTATTGTCACGCTCATTTACAACTTTTCCATTATTGGCCAACATTCATTGTGAATGTAAATGCTGCATGCGCACTTTCTTCATTCCCTGTTATCTTTAAGCAAGCTCGGGCTCGCTTGGTTTTCATATTGAACCTCATTTTTCCCTCGCGCTTTTGATATGCGCCTTCTGCTATAAACGTCCCTTATGCTCACTTGCTAAGATGCCATTTGGCTTGCTTCTCCAAAGGCAGACATTCAAAATTGATATATATATATATATATATATAATGGCCTCATTCATATATATATATATATATATATGTGCTCTGCCAGCATGT